TGATTCATTTAACAAATATTTATTATCTATTATGTATCAGGCACTCAGGGATCTCTTCCTCCAACATGTCCAGCCACCCCCGCAGTTCAGGCAGGACAGTCCCCACCACTTCACCAGGTTTTCTGATAGCTTGATTAACTATGGGCTGGGCCTTGGGAGATGGGAGGGGTGCCACTCTTGTGGCCCTTTCCTATTTTAAGGTTAGTTTCTTGACAGGAAGGGAGGTGTCATGCGGCTGACTAGGGTGGTCTCAAGTTCAGGGGAGCCCAGCTTGGCCTACAGGAACCCCACTCTTGCCTGCCTGGTGGGGGCCATCCCTGTGGCTGGTTCTGAACTCAGTATCCAGGGGCTCAGGGAAGGAAGAAAGTAGACTCTCAGCCAAATATTCTATTATTCTATCAACAGGGTGACTCAGGACTTAAACTGATCTGGAAGCTGTGGAGAGTGAGAAAGAAGGGGTGGAGAGAGGTGAACCAGGCAGGAGGAGACCAAGGGCAAGGAAACAAAAGAACAGAGAGTGCAAGGAGACAAAGTGACAAAGATGGGGAGAAGCAGAGAAGGAAGGTGCGGAGAAGGGGAGAAAGACACGGAGGGGAGCGGGAGGGAAGGAGGCAGGGAGAAGGGGGAAGGAAACAGCCAGAAACAGGGTGAGGGAAGGGAGAGGGGAAGAGCTGCTGTGGACGGAGTCCTGGTTTCTCTGTAAGACCGTCCCGTGATCCTCCCTCTCCCGAGCACTCACAGCACCCACGTATACACATACAAGGACACACGCAAACACGTATGCACTGACATCCACCCCAATGAGCACTGCCTGGGGGGGGGCGTGTTGCCATGGTGATAGGTGCTAGAACATCACCTTGTGGGTATTAATAGCTTCCACTGAATCCACTAAAACAGTGTCTTTGTCCAGCCCCTGTCTCCTTGGCAGGTTCTTTCTACCTCCTCCCTCCCAGGGTGTTGCTGGAAAAGGCCCTGGGGCCACATAGGCTGCTTCTCTGACTCCTGGCAGCTGCCTTGGTGAAGGATGGTTTGAAGGCTCGGGGTTCTGCCCAGTGCCCAGAGGGAAGGAGGGTGCTGGCATTCTTTGATCCTCTGAGCCTGGTCTAACCACAGTCCCTGCCAGGAAAGGATTTCTGGAGCACAGGATGCCTTAGAGGGGTCATGCTCAGCTTCTCTGGGTCCCATGCAGTCACACCCACCTCCTCTAGGTCCCTGCCTGGGCAGTGACCTGCGCCCAGTTGACACTTAACAGTGATGTCCCCTCTCCCAGTACAGAGCTCCCCAGAAGGATTAGGGTGAGGCTAGGGAGGGGCCTAAAGTGTGACATGTCAGAAGTCCTTACACTCAGGCTTGTGCAAGTGCAGAGTTGACATCCGCATGACCCCGAGAATGAACACCTCCTTCAATTTTGCACCAGGATGCCTTCCTTTTCTCTTCCTGGTCCCAGCCCTGTTAATCCTCCTATGATCTCCTCAACCTTCTTGAGTCAGGGAAAGTTTCTGTCCTGCCCTCAGTTCCTGGCCTTTGTCCCTGATGCCTCTCACCTTTCTTTGGGGCTCCCCAGGATCAGGCTGCCCTGACGTGCAGAGCCTGTGGGCTGCCTCTGGGCTTAGGTGGGCACCCACCTCTGGCTCTTACTCACCTTCTTCCCTTTGACCTTCATCTCTCCCCTGTTTTGCCCAAGCCTCAGGTTTAGATTATGTGGGCCTGTGACATCCCCGCTGTCCTCTACCTTTGGGGCCTCACCCTCCACTCGCAGCCCCCTGCCTATGCCCTGGCTTCTCTTTCCAGGATGAGGGAGAGGCAGGACTACTCTAGGGAGGGCCCTGAGACTCATGCCAGCCACTGTCTGCAAATCCTAGCAAGGGTCTTGTGCTTCACACACACTCGAGGGGAATTAGTCTCATCTATACAGCGTCCTCCTATTTACTGTGACTTGTAAAAGGTCTGAACCCTGCAGCTGCTCACAGTGACTTCATTCCAGCAGATTTCAGGGAGTATGCAATTGTGTGCGTGTGGGTGCTTGCATAGAAGTGAGTATGGGAGATGGTGTAGAGTTGTGTGTGCAAATGTGGAGGTAGGTTGCCATTCAGAGCTCATGGATTTCTGACACATGAGTCATGGGTTGGGAGTGAGCCTTGGGAAGATATTGCCCATAGAAAAGACAGTCCCTGGCCTGCCATGTCCATTCTGCAGCTGGCTAGGCACGTGATCCTGGGCATCCAAGGGCTGGAAGCCAGGGTCAAGGGCTGTCTCTCCCTCCAGACCCCAGAAAGCGGCTGCCACAGATATTTCTAGCTCTCCTGGAGTCCCAGACATTTAGGGTGTGATGCCTGGAATGGGGTGGGGGTGGAGGGCAGAGGTGAGAAATAAAAAGCGGTTCAGAAGGCTCCACTCTCAGGGATTCCAGCAGTGTCCTTCTGCTGGCAGGCAGGAGATTCATCCATTCCATAATTATTTCCGAGAATCTGTCCTGTGCCAGGCACTCTCCCAGGGACTAGGGCACCATGGTGAATGTGACTGACCTGTGCTCTCCCATCCCAGAACTTATGTTCTAGTGGGGGAGGCAGAATATAAACAAGGGGGAAAGGCTACTTTAAACTAGTTCCATACAAAAGCTATGAAGAAAGTAAAACGGAATAACAGTATGGAAAGTGACTGAGAGCGGTGGGGGTTCTTTACTTGGGATGGTCAGGGAAGGTCAGGACATAAACTGTGCCTGAATAATGAAGGGCCATCACATGCAGATTTGGGGGAAGAGCCTTCCAGAAGAGGCTGAATGAGATGCCCGTTGCCCATCCACGTCTTCACTGGACTCTGTATTAGAGTTGCTGAAGTCGGATCAGGGGGCTAGAGGTGACTAGATGAGCAGGAAGGCTGATTCTCTGAAGGAGGGGAGGGGGGCCTTGGAATGTCTTCTACCCCTATCAGCAGGGACAAAGAGACTACCCAGGTCCAGGTAGGAGGAGAATGACATTCTTCTCCCTTCCTGCAGGCTTCCTGGTAGCAGCGCTGAGCTACACTAACAGAAGAGTCATCTGAACAGGACACTTGCCGAAGCCCCCTTCCTCCAGGAAGCCTTCTTTGACTGCTATAGGTGGCCTGCTCCCCTCCCCCATAGCTGACTGAACCACTCAGTTCAGAGTTGGTGCTTCTCTAGTGGTTTGTCCCTGAGATCTGTTCCCCCGGATTGACCAGAGACTCAGTCTTATGAGTCTGGTCTATAAGCACCCAAAGGCCCCACTGCTATTTGTCCAGGAACAGGACTGCCTGGGGTTCTTGTTCTGAGCCCTTGCCCTTGCACCCCTTCAGATCCTAATTTCAAGTCCTTTATTCAATCATCCATTCACCCATTTAAATTTTTTTCTTGAGCTTTTTACTATGTGCCAGGCCCTGTATCTGGTGCTAGGGAAACTGTAAATGAGAGCTACCTCGCCCGCCCTGGCTGTACCGCTCCTCCCGTTTTCGAGTTCCGCGGTTCCCCGAGGGGAAGCAGCCCAACCTCTGCAGCCCCGGTCTTCGCCTGACGTCTCACCCCCGCGCCTCCCAGAGCCGTGCCCCGGGGGCCCCTGCGCCGCCCGAACTTGTGGCAGCCGGGAACGCGGCGCGCCCCGGGACCACATCTGGGCCGGCGGGCGCGCGCGTGTCACTAAGACGCTCATTCACCGGCGCAGCTGTCACCATAACAACCGGAGCGAGGGAATCCTGGCGACCGCTGGGGCGGGGGCGGCGGTCGCGGGAGGTGCCCGGCGGGGGTGGGAGCGCGGCGGCCGAGGGAGACGAAGCTCCCTGCACCCCCGCGGGCGGGAGGGCCCCACGCACGTCGCCGCAGCGTCCGTCCCCGCGGGCGGGGACCGAGCCGGCCGACGAGCCGCCCCACCTCCGGGCAGGCCGAGCCGCTGAGCGCTCGCGCCGGGGCCTCTGACTCTATGGCCCG